CTAGATAGGGGGTGAATTCATCAGAAAAGCCCGTGCAAGGGGGGTAAATTTTCTTCTTTTCCCTAGATAGGGGGGGGGGGCAAAAAAATGAGGGAACAAGCATAGGCCCCCCTAAATATAGGGAGTGGGGGCCGGGGATCAGCCCACTAATCTACATAGTAAAAAGCTACTGGTCAACATTTATACGAAATACACTGCATGGACAATAACTGTAAATACAATAGTATACTATGCTGGCCTGCTGATGTCAATGCAATGAGCGCCTCTTGTATTGTGTGTTCTCATTCCAGTGTTGTACAACACTGCGCAATAGAGCATACACGGCTTTCAACACAATGACAACTGAAAGCACCTCGAATATACACCTACCGATTCTACATTAGGTGTCGTATTCATGGGAGTCCTGGAGCCATGGCGAATAAATATCTGAGCGTGTACTTGTTGCAGGTGATCAGTACTGTCATATGTCTGTCCGCCGCTTCCAACAGTATTGCTGGCCATAATAAAGTCCTACCATGAAAATGAAAGCACCGGTATAGCGACTGTAAATAGGAACTTCACCTTTGACCTTTTACGTGGGCCGTTTTTTTTAAGGGTGGATCATTAGAAACTCTGATGGGGGCATGTATTAGTAGTATGTTCTTTCTATTATTGCATAATATCTGATTATTTTTGAAATGCACAGAAACCCGTAACCTGCATAGTGCATTTCTCAAGTGAGCCTTGTCATTTTCGGATAAATACAAACTGTGTGCAAAAACTACTTTCACTCTCAATTTACACTAGAAAAAGGATTAATTATTCCCTGGATTTTAATGATTTTGCTTATTTCGCTGACTGGAAAATGCGCTAAATTAAAACCCAGTAAATATGTAAAATTGAGCATAGAACACATTATCTAAATGATTAAACCGTGCATTTAAACTCCACTGAATATGCCTGAAATGCTAAATCAGTGAAATTTAAGTCCAGTGAAAATTAGTCATTTTACAGTATGTATGTCTAGTTTATTTTCATGGCAACCTTACACGGGATTACTCATGAATAGACATACATATGACATTACGCTGAGAGCGTAGACTATGTATATACATATTGTAAAGTTATGTAAATGGAAAGGAGAGTAACTAATGTATGGAAAAACTATAATGTGTGCGATACAAATAAGTTATTAAAAGTATTGGAGAAAAAATGAAAGATCGTTTTCGCAGTATTGAATTTAGGATCCTGTAGTAACCTGAATTGTGAAAAGAGAGTTTGCATGTTTTTATTTTAAACTATTTTGCTGAATACTATAACAGGACTTGAATGTAATTGTAATGTTTTCTAATATTATCGTCAGTCAGTCAGTCTGACTGAATCGAACTTCGTTCACCCGTTATCGCTTAAGATTCAAGAATAATCAATACTCAACGCACAACACACCCATTACCCCTTAGTGTCGAATTTGCTGTGTTCGTCGTTTTGACATATTATTGAATGGAATTATTATTTATTTTTTTTGCATGGACGAGTTAAGCAAAGCATTAGAATGCGTGACCTGGTTTAATTTATCTGTTCTCACTTGACAAATTGGTAATTAACATAATCTGATAGTGGTTTTGAAAACAAATATATTTTGAAGGAATGTTACATGTCTTATAATGCATTTACCAGTAATGAGTAGGTGATTCGTTGTCTCCGTGTTGTATAACAGTGTCATATCTGCGTAGTTTAGTTATGAGACTTGGTTGTTCCATAGTAACACGAAAATAAATTCATTGTAACCAATGTATGCAATGAATACATAATATAGAGATGAGTTTAATCTCCTTGTCCTAGTTTCCAAATGGTCAATTCACAAAATCCTACGTATTGCACCGCCAGCTGATACCACTTCTGAAAACTTATTTAATTCACCGTTAAGATACATATAAATAGTTGTCATGCTTTAAAATGACTGTAATTATTTGTAGTATGTCTTTAATTTTTTTAAATGTTTAACTCGCCCTGGAAAACTAACCAGTAACCCTGGCGTTTAGATAAAAAAGCTTTATTTTGTGTTATTTGGGGGGGAATCTCACAATTTTGCAATGATAATCGAACTAGTGTACATTTGGGGAGATGTTGCGAAAATGTGGCGGTAATCATGTGATATTGACATAGAAGTAAATTTATGTTACATCCCAGTTATTAATAAAATAACGTGTTTTTTATAAGTAGGACATAAATTAGGAATACTAATATTTAAACCAAACAGAAATGTTAGCGAGCTCGATCTGCTGTTTTTTATGTTGTTTTATTATTAATTTACGGTGGAGTAAGAAAAAACAGATGTGAACACGTTACGCCTGCGTAAAGAGGCTTAAATACTACAAAGTTTAACGATCCTTGGAAGAGGGACGCCAGCCCAGGCGTGTCCACCACATAATACTCACTAAGTACTTACTAAAAACATGTGTGAACACGTGAACTTAAATATTTCGAGTCTATAAGTTCTATTGGAAGGAAAGCACTGGCTATAATTTACGACGGGTGTTGTGAGCGCATTGACATCCTGGACTAAAAATGGGTACTTCAGTCAAATGAATTTAAGTTTAACTTATTTCATAGTATGTACTCGTAATATGTGTTGAAATTGCAGTCAGTTAAGTTGTTATATTGAGAGGGGCGATCGTCCCTCGAAAAAAATATTATTATTATTATTATTATTATTATTATTATTATTATTATTATTATTATTATTATTATTATTATTATTATTATTAAATTGCAGGAAATAGCGCGAGGGATTATGAGCAGATCTGGCCCCTCCATACAAAATGTCATGCCGCCGCCTCTGTGTATACGTTGTTAAACCACATTCTCTCAGCACTGTGGTTAAACTCAAAATATGCTGCTTGGTTCCAACACATTTACAATGTATTTATACTATTATTTCATTTTACATTGCCCAGAATTTACAACTGTTGTAGCTCGATTGAAGAAATACAATAACAGACAGAAATATGAGTGTGACCAATTGGAACATTTCTATCTACAACCATAGACCCTCTAAAATGCTACAACTCAGTGTTATTAAAGTTGTGTTCTCCAGGCCATTTATGAGAAAAAACTAATGTGAACGCAGTATTGTGACATTCTTATCTTAACTTTTTCTAGTGAGAACATGGTAACGTATTAAGTTCACTGTTCTTTGAATGAATCTTCGTGTATTTACATACGTATATTATCATATTATGCATTTCTATTTTTTACATTGTGACATTTTACTAAATATGTATACCATCACCATCACATCTCCCATTGGTTGCCAATTCGGCAATTTACAAAATCTGATTCTGTGTACCAGCAGCTGACAGGGATTTTGAAAAACAATTTTCTTTAAGTTAAAGTTAAAGTTAGGAAATGTTGCATATGAATAGTTGTCATGCCAACCAGTAGTACAACCAGAAGAAAGAATGACCAAGGCGTGATCTAATTTAATCTCTCCATTCTCACTGATGATTATAAAATTGGTAATTAACAGAATCTGATGTATTTCATCACCAGCTGATAGCGTTTTTAAAAACATTTCTATTTTACATGACTAAAGTAGGTGATTCGTTTCATGTTTTCATGTGGTATAACAGTGTCATATAGGGATAGTTTAGTTATGAGACTTGGTTGTTCCATAGTAACACGGAAATTCATTGTAACCAATGTATGCAATGAATACATGATATAGAGATGAGTTTAATCTCCTTGTCCTAGTTTCCAAATGGTCAATACACAAAATCCTACGTATTGCACCGCCAGCTGATACCACTTCTGAAAACATATTTAGTTCACGGTTATTACATATTGAATAGTTGTCATGCTTTCAAATGCCAACACTGTAATTATTTGTGGTAGTTCTTTTTGAGATATATCTTTGACGAATCTCGGAAAATTGCGAAATTTGACAGTGAAAATTAAACTGGGTCACTTGACGAGATTTTGTTGTCCGGGAAGTCCTTAAATTGTCATAGAGTCGCGGAAATGTAACCATTAGCCGAGTGATACGATATTGGTAACATGATGTGATCTTGTCAAGTGGCGGATGTGTATAATTATGAATACTAATATTTAAACAAGACAAATGTTTGCGAATTCTGGTGGTCTCTTAGCACGCAACGTAAAAGTTCGATAACGTTCTAATGAATCAGCTTGGATTTAAGGGCGGTGGTCGTCGCGGAGAGCGTGTTCGAATTTCAAGTAAACAAACAATGTATTTTACTGTAAAGGGATTAATTATTCACTGGGTTTTGCTTATTTCGCTGACTGGAAGGAAAATGCGCTGAATTAAAGCCCGGTGAATATGTAAAATTTAGCATAGAACACATTATCTGAATCATAAAACCGTGAATTTAAAACCCGTCGAATATGCCTGAAATGGTAAATCAATGAAATTTAAACCCAGTGAAAATTAATCATTTTACAGTACATGCGTTGTATACGTCGCTATGACTCACATATTGAACAAGACGTACGTATGGACAACATCATCCAATTATGTTTTGTTGATGCCATTTTTACCACGTGACTTTGTACTAATTACGTGAATCATCGGCACCATGTTTCTCAATATGAGTGTTCTGTTTACCAAGTTCATAAGCGGCAGCCGGTGGCTTTAGACTCGAGGTGACACGCATGCGTGTTCGGTTCTAGTTACACAGCAGTGCCGGACTAATAAACACATCAACAATATCAATTAAAATAGATTAGTCGTCTTGTAATCCTACTTGACCATCTAATTCGTATCCAGCTGTTTACAAACCTGTAGTACGAAATGCAAACATGAAGGTAAAAATAGACGGAATTTTACAAGATATTAAATTAAACGATGAATACCAAAAAATAATGATTTCCGTGTACGAGATTGTTAAAATAAAACTGTGAACAAACATTTATTAATTCATCCGTATAGCATCGGGCATGGAAAACAAACGGATGACAAAAACGTGATATACGTCAGAAAAAATAAATCAGAAAAACAGTACCGACCGACCGATCGTAACAATCACACTTTTAATACAATCTTTATAAATAGGCGCACATATTGATCCATGATTGCAAGAAGAAGTTTTGGCAAAGAACAAAATTGTCAATTACAGAATGTTGGGTGTTATTTCAACTATACAAATGTTCGAGTTCATTGAAAGTACTGCGATAAAATTTGCCGATGTTTCACCGTTAAAACGTTTGAATAATACTGATCAGTACAGTGTTAGTCATTACAATCTAGTTAGCAATATTGCGAATTCATTAAATCACTTGGACCAGTTGCACTTTACTTCATTGCATTGGTGGAAATACGTGCATTGTTTTGATTTATTGAACACGCGTAAGGTTAGGCAAACAATTGATAATCGCAAAAGTTGCACCAGACTCCGCAGCCAGTCACAATTGCTGTTATAGAGCGGAGGTGCGGGGGTGCGCCATGTTGTCAGGTTTAGTTGGTTTATCTGTCTTTCAGTTGATTCATTTCTTTTATATAGCCACACGTGTGCACACAGCTGATGGTAGTCGTATTATGCACAGGTCAGTAAACATATAGAATATACACGTCGTAATTATACAGTCTTATGTATATATGGCAGTTTTCGATTGGTGGTCTCATACTCAAAACGAATTCGGACCTGGTGAGACGCAGAACCGGAGCTGAAACTCCGCCAGTCGGAAGTATAATTGAGTGGAGGCAGTTGCCATGGCGATGTATAATAGGCGAGCGCTCTTGGTGATTTTGTTGTTTTTGGATTTGGTGTTTCTGTGCGTCATCGCCGTGCTGCTGACACTTAATCGGGGAGCATGTGTTAGCAGGGTAGAGGATGAAACGTGTGTGTGTCCGGTGACGTCAGAAGAAGAAGAATATGGAGTAAGGGCACCCCCTCCGCCTCCAGACCCAGACGTAAAGTTGATGGAAGATTTCATCTTGGGTGAAATGAAAACTGAAGCATTATCGGAGGAAAAAGAGGAATATTTGCGACGTAAGATTGATAGTTTCCGCTTGAGGTGTTCGTGCCCGAAGCCACCGAAATGGCTGTCGAAGTCAGACGTGCACATACGGCGCATTCGAGAAGGCAGGAAGTTAGAGTACGAAAAGAAACGAAGACAGGCACCCCTGGTGATGTGTCCGGCTATGTCGCCTCTCAGTTACCTTGGCAGCGGGGTCAAAGTTGAACCTTTTCAAACGGTTCCTGTTGCCGGGCTGTCGCTCCATGAAACCGTGGTGGAGGTTTTTAAAGAAATGGTTACGGATGTTCGATTCGACATTCGATCTGCTAAACAGCTCGGGGTGCTATTTATTGACAATTCAACTTTGTCTGAACTAGAATCGTTCGCTCGCGTCACCGGATACAATACTGACACTTTGAGCATCACCGTTTTCGGCCAAAATATTGAATTTCTAAACACCTTTTTAAAACACATAAATTACAAAAGCACCAAGTTTCGTATTGATGAACACGATAAACTTGAGTTGAATATTCTTGGCTCCACTCTCAATGTATTTGTTCACATCCGACGAGAACCACTGCCCGATCTCTTTGATCCGGGTCCTGGCAATGACGTCATCTCCGAGCAAGTGACGATCATAACAAAAACATTCGAACGCTACGATTGTTTGCAGCGATTGGTTAAGAGTATCCGCCAGTTTTACCCGAATATCCGAATAATCATCGCGGACGATTCAGAGTTTCCAGAAATCATAAACGAGCCGAATATCAGACACTTAACCATTCCATTCCGTGATGGCTGTTTCGCGGGGCGGAACCTAGCATTGAGCCAGGTCACAACTAAATACGTCTTATTCGCCGATGACGACTTCGTGTTCACTAATGAAACCCGTCTGGAACGAATGATGGAAAAATTGGATTATTTGGAATCGGAAATAGATATTGTAACCGGCCCTATCGCCCATTTACCGACGCTAAACTATATATTCAAATTCGCTGAGGATCACGGGAAGGGTATATGTGCTATGGGAATGATGGCTATTGATCAGGAACAGCGAAAAGTCGCGGGTTTCCCACAATGCTATTGGGGCGAAATGCTGAATAATTTCTTCATGGCCAGAACATCGGTTTTACGTCGAATCGGTTTCGATCCCGGATTTATTTACGCGGGGCACGAAGAGTTCTGGTTGGATGCTGTCGGCAAGGCGCGTAGCATAGCTTGTTACGATGTGTCGGTTGGACACGACCACACAGAGACGGAGAAGTACGGGCCGTATCGATTTCAAACAGAAACGAGAAGAAAAAGAGACCCTCATTTGCTTTTCAGTAATAATCTGTGTTATTGGAAAAACTGGGAATTCGAGGAGAAGCCTGAAACGTTTTTGGATCCAATGAAAGATAGGCATTAACTGGGCATCGTTGTTATTGCTCTCGTTGTTTCACTTGCCTGCAGGTGGCGGATTTTAGCCAAAGGCCACACAAGCACACGACATACTTGGCCGGAAATATACAACAATTATTTATTGGCACTCGCAATCCTCTATTTTATTCCTGAATTTTATCAAAAACTTTCTGTGATATACTTAAAATTCAAAGACATACCCTAATATTAAGTAAAACACTGAACACTTGAGCGCCAAAGTAAACTTATTTGTTCAGTTGAAATACTTTAATCGAGTATAGCTACTGATTACATTTATTTGGTAAAATAAATTAAGTAAAAGTACATAAAAATGTGGAAAATGCTAATTCAAAATGTTTGCCTCGCAAAGATATTTTGTATTATAATTTGTAATCGACATTATATATGTATAAACTGGGGTATGATTTATTGTCCAATGAGATTAAGTTGGTCGTACACAAAATAGCATTTGTCATGCCTTTTCAATGGAGTAACTAAGAAATTACGTCGATGCGCATGCGCCTTGTATTATTGGTGCATAGTATAAGTTCATGTGTAATAAATAGTCACATCGCATCTGATCTCCGCTTTTTGCAACACTTGTAGACAAATTCTATTTTGCGTGTGCTATGAAAACTATATTTTTAATTTTGACGATAATCGACATGAACTGGATGAAGTTCAATTTAGAAACTCTTATCTATTATACTAGTTTTGTTTTACACTATTTATGTTCAAATATTCGCTCTTACTCTGGTGCACGGATGACCTAGATTTTCTTAGTTCTGTGATGAAATGGACATGCTTCCGTTTTGCAAAAATACGCAATACAATACTACAATTTAACATTTAATGTGATACGTATAATATCTACTTTGTATATCCATGATATCTCATTTCGGTTTCTTCATAATTTAAACAAATAACACGACTTATATTTGTTTTGAACTTTATAGCTATAAATGCAAATGTGTGCGTGTGTTTTAATACTCTTTATGTCTGCAAACTCGGCAACAGCTTGGGTTAAGGGGCGGCGATAATACAAGGGCGTCTAATTATGTCGATTTCATCATGATTTTGACACTGGGTGTTTAGCATGATCGCGTTATTATGTTTATTAAAAACATGTACAGAAACAATTAATTTGCATTTCACGAACGAGTGTCACTTTCTGTTATACGTTTAGTGACATACCACCAGTAGGACAGAGTACAGTAGACTAGCCTCAATGACTCGTCCTAAAATGCCAAGATAACATAATGTTCGTAGATAGAGAGATTTATGTTCGGATACACCGTATGAGCGAGTGATACAATGAACCTTATCTCTGCTTTTCGTAATTTTCGACCATGGTCATGTAAAATTATGATAATAATTTGTTGTTCTGCCAACAATTTCTGAATGTTTTTCTACCAAATAAGCAAAATGCAAATTGAATTTTATGTAAATTCGTTTCAGATTACAACAACCAGGTGTGAAGTGTGACAAATGCATAGTGACAAATAAATATCAAATCAGCCTCGACATTCTAGATAAAAAGAATATTCACTAAATTAGGATTGAATCAAATTAGTCTACCCAATGTACTTGCATAAAGAAATATCAAAACAATCAGGCTCGCGATTTTTCAAAAATAGCGATCCACCAATAATATAGATACATATATAAATATCGAAATAATTGAAGAATCCGAAATTATTTTTCCAAAAGTGAATAAAATATTCACTGAAACTGAAAAATGTAAGGTATCCTCACATAATTAACAAATCTGACTGAGTTCCTCTCAAGGCACAATTGCAGTGTGCATGAATAATACACAGCTGGTTCGTTTTATAATAATATCGAAAATGTAAAGTTTACGTCGACGGACGACGATGAATTATAACGGACAAGAAGTAGTGAACATAGCTCAGATCGACTTTGTCGACAGCAGAGCTGATAACATATTTCCCGATTAATGCATGGAGCATATAACAAATGTAAATCCTATTGCATACATTGTAACTATCCCGTCGTTACCAACACAACGTATTGTAATTAAATCATGAGCAGACATTACAGTGTAAAGCTTAACTAAAGCCGTGGAGGTATAAACCTTAATACTAAAGCCGAACAAGCAGCAAATGTACAGACAACCCGGTTTTAGTCAGACAGTCCTGTTGTTGAATATTCACTACTATGCACAGTTATATTGACACTGTCATTTACAGAAAATTGGAATATTTAACAACATACGAAATACAGGTTTCACGGTACGGATATTTTTCGCTGTGTCAAATATTCAGTAGTTTCGTTTATGTAAGCTCTGTACAATAGTGTGATTGTGACCAAGCTATATGCCTCACTAGTCTCATTGAAACGCATACAATTGGCAGACAATAAATACAGAATTTAACAAACACGTTCAGTGTGCTGCAAAAATCATTTATATTGAAGTGAAAGTATGCTAAGTGATTAAGTGATAAGATACTGTAAAATACTTTTTTTTCGCTTGCAACTAATTTTCGCAATTTTCACTGAAGGAATGCTTCAGTGAAAATAAAATTCAACGAATATACATTTTTCCTATATTTTACATTCAACTTATATTTATACTTATATTCAAATAATTCCATACAAAACACCCAAAAAGTCTATTAAACGAAAATTAATTCCAGCTAAAATAAAGTATTTTACAGTATTATGTTGTGAGGGACTGGACAGAGCGTACAAGAGGGGGATAGGTAGGTGTTTTTCGGGGGGTGCGTGGGTCACTGATTTTCGTGCAGGTCTTGAGGGGAGGGTTACAGTAATATGTGCAGGCATAAGGGGAAGGGTCACAATTTGTTTTTATGCACAGTCTGATTGACTGTGTTGCCTCAACAAACGCTTATTCTTATTACTCATTCAGCACTTGTATTTACATTGAATGACATGTTAAAAACTTAAGTTATATTCAGAGCTATGATCTCACCCTAATGTGATACATACACAGTATCATACATTGTTCTCTTCTCAATGAGAGCTGAGCTAACTGATTGAAGTAGAAAAGTTCTAAGCTGTGTAGTAGAACATCAATTAGTATGTATATATACTAGTAGTTTCAATACATGTATTATCCTTACACTTAGAAGAAGGGAGGGTCACAATTTTTTATGGACCATTCAGGGGGGTCAGCAAATTTCATGCAAATGTTTGTGAAGGTCATATATTTTTATGTACGCGACTTTCAAAAAACACCGACCTACACCCCCTGTAGTTTTTGTCCGGTGCCCGAGGGGGCGTGACACAGTTCGAGAATCGTGATTTTTAATGATTAAGAATTCAAAACAAGTGATTATAAATTAACAAATAATGAATCAATTGAAACAGAAGATGATAACTTGGTGAAGTAGATTAGAAACACAAAAGTATGATTTTCAGAGTACACTGATTGATGCGTAGCAGAGTCCTTTGGGTTATGATTTCAGGTCGGTGGATAAGAAAGTGTGCTAGTCTGATTTAGTTTTTTAGTGTTTTGTGGTGATGTGAGAATTACGTGATCGTATGCAAGGGATTTTTCTACACAAAACGAAGAATTATGCCAAACTGTGTTGACGTTTCTCAACTTGTGTCTTTATATAGTTTAAAGCCGTATTCAAAATGGCTGCCCTATATAGAAAATATCTTTTTTTTTTTTATTATCATTTTGTACGGCTGCCGACTGTGCCCCCTCCCGACGGCACTGAATTCTATAAAAGTCGATATCATTTGGTAGAGCGCCACCTGTGGTGATACATTACACATACATTAGCGCCCCCTGTGTCGAACAAATTAAAACAAAGATGGCGTCGGTGAGTTAGTTGTTTGTTTCCTTTTTCCTTCGATATTTTTAATATTGCCAACTCCACCGAAACACAATAACCACCGCCATAAATGGAACTTCAGTAAGTGTACTATGGATACGATGGCTGAGATTATTATGCCGACGTTGAAACTAGAAGACCGTGTGTTTGCTGTTTTTCATTATAGAGTTATCGTTGGTGGAACTGTGTGTTGAGGGACTGTGGTTAGACCTTCGCATATGATTAGCTCACAGTCCCTCTGGTTAGCTGTACCATGGAAAGTCCTACTACCTTCCATGGATGTACGCACTCGTGTTCCAGCTGACCGAGACAGGAGATCTGTTACTAAAAAAAATGAAATACGCCCACGAAAGTATTCGTGCGTGAATAAGATAACATCAGTGCACGTTTCCATGAGTTGTTCATCTTTTCATTCTGTAAATACTAGTATTCAGACTGTTGTTGTGTTGTTGTTGTTGTTGTTTTTTTGGGGGGGGGGGGGCTAACATAAAACCCTTTCAATTTCACTCCCACCACCACCACCCTACATTTAAACACACAAAGGGCTTCATTTATTGTACAATAATGAATTGCTCGCATGTGATTTACGGTACACTCATTTTTTAGCAGACCAGAACCGGTACAACATAATAGCTACATTTTTGTGTGTATGATGTATTTATTTGATTTGTTTGTTCAGAAATCAAGCGATGCAGGGCCTTCAACCTCCACTGACAGTAGTGAATTATCAGCAGCAGCAAGACGAGCTGAGAGAATGAAGAAGTTGAGAGATTTACATCTGAGAAGGGTAAGTCACATCTGTACATAGAAGAACATGTTTTCCCAAAGGGATGTGGGTGGGGGGAATCATTCAGTTGTACACCTGTTTGGTTCATACAGTTCAACATCCAATTCACACAGTTTCAGACAATCCATGGCAGACAATCATTGCTGTATATAAATATCTAAATTCAAGAATCTTAATCATTGTGGAGTGCCCCTGTTCCTTTAGTTAGAGATGGAACTGTGCATATTTAACTCAATATACTTATTCAACGTACATGGTGGCTTAAAATTTTTATTTTTTTACTTTTCTTTGATCAGAATTGTTGTTAAGTTTACTGTATTTGCTTTATTAGAAGTGCCTTTGACTAAAAGCAAATTGTATACTCATAACTGGATTGTATACTGGATCATTCATTAAAATACGACCTACTTCAACCATAGTTGCACCTCTGTTATTTATGTACATTGTATAATACTGTATTACCCAGGGCATG